AAGCAAGGTAGGAGTGCCATTCACGTGGAATCCACGTGGTTACTGCAGTGTTCTGGCTCTACTGCAGTGCTCCTGCACTCTCCAGGATGGGAAAGATAAGTGCTCCAGTAACTGCTTGATGGCTACGTCCCTACCTGGGAATAGCAAAACTTTCTTAAAAGCCCCCGTTCATCCTTCTGCTGTTGTCTTTTTTCCTCTTCTCACTGTACTCTTGGTGAAATAAAGAATCACCATCCGCCTTTGGATAAGAAAACAGCTAAAATCAAATGAATTTTCTCACAGATGAGTTCCCACTGTGTCTCCCATGCTTGTCCCATGAAACTATTCATGGAACAGTAGACACCCTCTGTGCCACTTAGGGACCAAGTAACACAGCATAGGCAAACCTCTATGATTAATCCCGGGGCTCTTGCAGATCTCCACAAGCCAGGGACAGCCTTTAGCCTGCACAGTGGGAACTGCTACTATGTTATGATGGAAGAAACCGAAAACCAGCAGCACAGGGATGCAAAGGTCCAAGGGTCTGGGGAACCATAAAAGGGTCACTTGCCCAGGCTGGACATCTAAAATGTCCATTTGCTGCACAGAAGGAATCTGCCTGAAGTTTCAGGGGAGAGAAAAAGAAGGAATTTAAAGAGTGTAGCAACAGGAAAAACGTGCAAACTCTTCAGCATAAGCTATCATGGATTTGGCTCTGGATTTCAGAGGTTCAAGAGATCAAAGCAGTAGCAACCAGAAGGGCAAACCAGAGACAGCACACAGATAAAAGAAGAGATGAAAGCCAAAGAAAGCATGGACAGGAGGCTAACATTGGTAAATGAGGAACTGCGGTTAGATTAAACTGGTAGTGCTTGATGTGTTGTCTAGTCCCTTTTTTGGCCCCATTGGTTTCTGCAGAATTGAAGCTTTGGGGGTTAGGGAGAGGAGGGGGAGGAAAAACGGTATTTCCATTTTTTTGTCCTTGCCAAGAAAAGCTTCTGTGTGTGAGTCATCTCCGTGCTGCCTGTGGAAGGCTGCAAGGAGTCAGGACAGAAAGGATCCTCCTGGGGGTAAAACACTGCTCAGGGGGACAGTGGACCCAGATTCAGCTGTGTTGCAGGCTCCCTAGATGTCACCCTGGTGGGACCTACTCTCTGTCTTACGTGGCTGTGCAGGGGGCCGAGCTGATGCACAGTGCTTCCTTACACCCCGGGATTGGGTGTGGATCTGGCCCTCGGGCAACAGAGGACTTCCGTAAGATGATGGGATATCTCTGGGAATTTCCTATATTTTAATATAAAGCGTTCCTATTGCCTGGCCTGAGAGGGTAACCCAAGTGGTTGCATTAGCAGAGCCCATCATAGCCACTTGGCAGAGGATCGGTTAATCAGTCAATGCATCAGGGAATGGGCAGATCCTCTCATTTCTGTAGCTTCTCAAAGCAAGCCCCTCTGGGTGAGCAGGTGGGATTGATCACCTCCCACAGCTGCTTTGTGTAAGCTGGAATTTGTATCTCTCTCTTCTCTGAAACAGCCCACCTGGGCCATCAGCTGGGAGGAAGAGGGAGAGGAAGGAAAAGAGGGAAAAGAAGAAGAAGGACAGGAACAACAACAAGAGCAAGGACATCTCAGAAGAGGATGTGGAACTGGAGTAGGAGTTGTGGTATGGCACAGTGAGATGTTCCTGTTGCAGGACTGACTGGGATGGAGGGAGGGACCTTCCTGAGCAGTGGGACCTGAGAATGAAAGGAGCAAGTGATGATAACAGGCTAATGATCACTTCTGGGCCTGGTGCTGTGGGGAACTGCCGCAGCCCAGCAGTGCGATGTGTTGTGAGTGAGGCTTTGGTGTGGAGAGGGAGCAGGGATTGCTCCTGTACTCTCAGTTACTCTGCCCAGGATGCATTTGGGGACTGGCTGGGACCTGTATAAGCAGATCTGAGGTGGGATCAGGTTAGAAAATTAGATCTAAATGACTCTGTGGTTTGAGAGGTCGAGCTTGGGGTGGAGGGAGGAGAGATGTGGCCTGTGGGGGGGGGGGAGGAGAGATGTGGCCTGTGAATTGGTTGATTTCTTCCCCCCCCCCCCCGCCCCCATGCATGGAAGGATAAGCACTGTGTCCTACCCAGCCTCTTCTCTCTGTCCTAACACATTCACCCCCTACGCGGGGTAAAAAGCAGGAAGGTGAAAAGCACCATCCCCACTTGGTGGTGAGGCCATGTCTGTGCCAAGGTCACCCAGTATTTGCAAGCTGCATTTGTAAAGCCAGAGAAACCCCAAATTCCCCTCCGTGCCGCTGTGGAGCGGCACCTCAGCGATCTCCAGCTGCCATCTGCTGGTAACTGCGCTGTGCTGGAGCCGGACAGCCAACGCTTCACTGCTGGACCCCTTTCCCTAGCTGGTGCAGAGGCTGGGCATCCCTGGGGACCAGGGACCTGCAGCAGGAGCTGCCGGCTTCCCAGGCCAGTCGGGAAAAAGCAGTGCACGAGAGATGGCAAAGAGCTACCTGCACTAAAGAGACCTTGTTTCAAGGTGTGTGTGGGTGAATCAATCCTGTGACAGCAGAGCACTGAAGGACAAGCAGGGCTTAAGCGCTGCAGTAAACTTGATGATTTATTGGAGACTAATTTCTTGCTGGAGAGGTATTAAACCTGCCTTGGGGAGGCGGGGAAGAGGTGGGAAACAATCTGTTAAAACATGTTTCTGCTGTTTTCTGGTCACTTAAGCACAGAAAAGCAAGTTAGCAAAAAGTGAAGTGGTTATTGAGAGCTTGGGTATTTGCATAGTGGGGTTTTGGGTTTTTTGGGTTTTTTTTGTTTTTTTTTTTTTTTTAAATTGAAATCTGTAACTTCAGAGCTGTTCTGCTGCATATTTGCCAAAGAAGATATGAGTCAGATGGGTCCCAGGGCTATTGCATGAATACTAACTGTCACTCACAGCATGAAAAGTAGGTTCACGGTGCTATTTTCACCTCCGGCTGGGCTGGAAACACCTTCTCCCTGCCCGCAGCCCTGCACTGCAGCTGCCCCTCTTATCTCGGACCTTGTCAGGTACGTCACGTAACACGGTGTCCAGGCACGGCCTGTTGCGTGACCTGCCAGCAGGCATCCGTCCTCTCTGCATACAGCCCAACACATCACCCCTTCTGCTTTGGGTTATGGTACAAAGCTAATAGGTGTGCAGATGTCCCAGACAGCGCCAGGCCCTGTGATGCCGTTCCTGCCTTCCCTGCATGCAGAACTCTTGTAGGTGGGAGGCGAAAAGCCACAGATACTGCCACAAGTCATCTGACTAATTTATTTCACCAGATTTGGAAGAGGGATGTCCTGGGGTGATTACAGGGAGGAGTTGGCAAGGGTGCATTGGTCCTTGTGAGCAGCACCCTTGTCCTTAGTCACTAGTGGATGCATTGGTTAACACCAACTAAACATGGTGGAGAACTAATAGTTTTGAATGTATGAAGTCCTTACAAGGTTCATGAAAATAAATGATGGAGCAGAGGAGAAAGACCCTATCTGTCCCACCAGCAAAGGAAACATTAAAGTGTGAGCTTTAACCCTCATTAGCCAGGAGAGAATCCACAGCAGCGGTGTACTCTGACTACCAGAATGGATGTGTGAGACCTCACACCTTCCTCTGGCACCAGAGCCTCCTATCCTAGGATGTACATCCAAAGGAAAGCAGGTTTCATCAGTTTAATTGCTCACAGAAGAGCTTATTTCTTGAGATCCTCTTGGAGGCCCGCCCTTGGAGCTGCAGCTTGGAAGGCTGCACGTCGAAGAGCAGAGACTGTGCTAGGAGAGTGGGGGGGTGTAAGAGCGGGGCCTCAGCTGAGCACCAGCATTGGCAACTCTGTGGAACTGGTGAGGTTTTGTTTTTTTTTTTCCCCAAAGCCCCAGTTTCTGGAGTCATGGGACTGCAGTAAGCATCCCAAATTTCATGCAAATATGAGACTCACTGCTAGAACTCCTTGTGATGGAGAAAAGTATAAAGATTCACCCTCAGGGAACAGAAACCAGAAGGAACAAAAAAGCTTCACTGCTAAAAAAGAAAAAAAATCCTCATGGTATCTAAGCCAATATCATTCAATTTTGGCCCCCAACTCAAGAATTTTTCAGGCTTGGAGTTGACAGTAACAAAACTCCACTGACGCTTTGGCCAAGAATAAGGGCATTATTTCTTTTGCCCTGGCCAGTGTCCCAAACCGGATGATTCCCTTTCCATGTACTCAAAACCCTCACCTGGAAATCCAGCTCCACATGGGGCTCTTTATCACGATTTGTCCTCAGCTTCTCCAGGGCATCACAAAACAGCAGCATCCTCCCACGCTAAGTCTCATCACACTGTGCAAGTTGATGGCAGTAGTTTATCAAGTCTGATGTATTCCTCAGGATACAAGCTGCTCGACTAAGGTATAGGAGTCATATAAGTTATTATTATTATCATGAGGAAGATTAGCATTGGAAGTGTTGCTGGAGAATGTCATAGTCCTTCTATCTCATTCTAATTTTTTTTTTTTTTTGTAGTGCAGCTAGGTTTGAAACTGGACCAAGGAGACTTTTTATTTTAGTTTTGTTTTAAGAAATCTCAGCCCTGGAGGGAGCTGTCATTTTGGGATGCTGATTAGCTTTTGCAAGTTGACAGGGAGCAAGGCGGCATTCTTTATAGCAATCCCAAGTTCTTTCGCCTAATCAAGCCAACACTGCAGTCTCTGTGTGGAGGATGTGTAACCCTATCTCATTGCCTGACAACTCCTTCAGTTCCAGACTTTGTTTCCTCAGTCCCCACAAACTGTAACAAACCATTAAGTTTGATTTTTATCCCCCCCCCCTTCGTTCTTTTAACAACCATTTTGGCTCAGCCTTCCTTGCTGGTTTTTTTCCTTAGGGATAGTAACTGTGAAGACTGTACTCACTTCATATATATCCTTCATCCTTAGAGCTTTTCAACATCTATTTTATCGACTAGTCAAAGGAAATGCTGCATCCTTAAAAAATTCTCCTTTCTAAAAAAACAAAAGTTGTATCTTATCTGTCCAGTTTGCTTTGAAAAGTGTTCCAACTAGAAATGGATCGACAGGCTTTGTAGAAAGCTCTTGCTGAAGCTAAAAAGAGGGTCTTGCAGCTGTAGGGTTTGACTCAAAAGACATGGATTTCATTTCCAGTTCCATGAGAGTCTGTAACACAGTGACTACAGGGAAGTGACAACGAAATATAATTGTCTTTCATTGAGCCTGGATGTGAAAAGAAATTAGGTGTGTTCATAGACCACTCCTTGGAGCAAGAGGAGCTGCTGCCCCAGACTTTCAAGACTGCATTCAAGGGAGGGTCAGCAGACAAATCATGCTGGCAGAGACGTTTTCCCTGGCACCCTGATGCAGATGTGGGGAACAGACACTGCGTGAGGGAGCTGCATATGAGGGAGGGAAAGAAGGAGCACAGAAGGTCATGGGGAAGACCTTGTAACTTTAATAAAAGCCCTGCAGAGCTCTGGGACAAAGTGCCAGCTGGCAAGAAACCTTTCCTTGATTCCTTCTGTTGGACTTCAATATTTCTAAACAAACAGGTTTGTACCAAACTTCACCTCCTGGTGAGAACAACCACCAAACCCCCAAACATTGACTAATCTGTCAAAAGGGAGAATGTCCTTATACTGCCTCCTAACTCTAAAATGAAGGATCTTTGCCGTTTTTTCCCTGATATGAAGAAGAAGGATTTTCTCAATAGTCACCAAGTGGAGATGGATCAAAGCTGCCAACACCTGTCTGAATCTGCAGTTCCAAAACATCCAGGCTGTTGACATCTATGGTTTTGTTATGGAGCCTTTTCTCTTGAAATGGGCCATACGGTGAAAATTTAAATGCACTGGATCACTTTTCAGTTGTGTGTAGGGAGTGCTGTTTTTTTTTACAGAGCACATATCAAAATCATTCAGCAAAAGACTGTTTTCTTCCCCACTGTGTAATCTGTAAAAGGGTTGTGCAAGGTCATACTGGGAAACAGAGATGGGTATGAGCCCACCCCCTTCCCCTGCCCCACAGGAGCTTTCCAGGTGATAGTGCACCACATCCAGTTTTACCAGTCTTGGTCTAAGTTCCTCGTGATTCTCAGACAATGGATTGCAGGAGAACATCAAAGGAAACTGGTTGTTCCTGTAGTACCTACCAAACATACCCTTTGCAGGGGCTGTGAAGCACTACCTTACCTGCTTTGCTGTGGAGCATGACTGTCTCAGGCAGCATGACTCACCTCCTCCTGCCCTCTCCCTTGGCTGGCTGTCATCTGGAGAGGATGAAATGAGGTGGACATGTTCTTACTGCAACTTCTCCATCTCTTTTGCTTGTTGATTGATTATTATTGAATATTCATCTTGCTGGTGGTAGCTAACGGTCGCAGCAGACAGCCTTATCGTGCAGCATCCCCCTGAACACAGTAATTCATGGCTCAGATTGTAGGGCTTATGTGGCTTTCACTTCTTCCTTGGTGTTTCTCAGACCATCATTTCATTGTACTCCAAACCTGAACCATCTTTCCAGAAAAGCAATACCCAGAGTCCTAATACAAACTACAAGTAGATCTCTTCATGTCTTAAATTCATTAAAAATGTTCTTATAAAAAGATTTATTCCCAGGGCTTTTACCCATACTTCTGCATGGAGTTGGTGAAGACATTATGTAATAGCTAAATCTTCATTAGTTATATCTGTTTGCTTTGTGCCTTCATGACAATGATGAAAGCTGTAAATAAGTATATTGTCCCATCTTAACAAGGATAGCATATCCATCAGTAAAGACACTCTGCTGAGATCTTTGCAAGGCTGTACAGGCAAGTAAATTAAAGGGAGAACAACATCCTTCATCTGAAGTGTCCTTGTTCTGTCACTTAATGTTTTACCCTTGCTAATATCTTTCAAAGTCTAGCTGTTAGTCAGAAAAGTCACTCAGTAAATGTGACATATTTTATTCAGCCTAAGTCTACTTGGTCCTAGAATGATTTTTCTAGGCAGCCACAGCTGGAAGCGTGACTTGGAACTCCTCCTGTGGCTTCTCACCTTAGTTTCCCAGCAGGGCGTGTGAGGATGGAAGGGGCAACCACAGGAGTCACGGCAGCTCAGCTGAATGGAGAGGTGCAAACCCTTGTTTGGGGTGGCAGATGAGTCATCTGGATAAAGGCAGATGGGATGAGACTCCACTCTCAGTAATGTTCACTTCAGCCTAGACTGACTGGTTGGTAACACCATGCCTGGCCCAGGGCATCTCCTCTCAGCGACTGTCCCAATTAAGTGCAGCAAAAACTATATGCTAACTTGAAACTGCCCTGTATGTCATAGAATCATTAAGATTGGAAGAGACCTCCAAGATCATCGAGTCCAACCGTCAACCCAACACCACCATGCCCACTAAACCATGTCCCTAAGTGCCTCATCTACCCGTCTTTTAAATACCTCCAGGGATGGTGACTCAACCACTTCCCTGGGCAGCCTCTTCCAATGTTTAACCACTCTTTCAGTAAAGACATTTTTCCTCACATCCAATCTAAACCTCCCCTGGCGCAACTTGAGGCCATTTCCTCTCGTCCTATCGCTTGTTACTTGGGAGAAGAGACCGACACCCACCTCGCTACAACCTCCTTTCAGGTAGTTGTAGAGAGCGATGAGGTCTCCCCTCAGCCTCCTTTTCTCCAGGCTAAACAACCCCAGCTCCCTCAGCCGCTCCTCAGAAGACTTGTTCTCCAGACCCCTCACCAGCCTCGTTGCCCTTCTCTGGACACGCTCCAACGCCTCAACGTCCTTCTTGTAGTGCGGGGCCCAAAACTGAACACAGTATTCAAGGTGCAGCCAAACCAGTGCTGAGTACAGGGGCACGATCACTTCCCTAAATGTCAAGGCTGTCCTTAATCTACACACAGAAGACAGGGTCATGGGTCTGCAGTGCTCAGGCAGAAGCTACAGGTGATCTTTGGGATAGAGTGAGGAGGGGGTAAGCACTGGTCAGTGCCGCTTACTGGGAGAGGTCCATGCTCGCAGCTCCCTACTGAGGGGAAACCCCAAACAAAGCACATCCCATGTGAGCCCACCTGCCTCTGCACCAGCATTGCATGGCTGAGGCTCAGCAAACGCATCCTCTGCATGGCTCCACCCTGCCCCAGGAGCGGACAGGAGTAGTCTCCAGTGCATGGAGCTGTGAGCTTTCCCCCCTGGTGTGATGGGTGCACAAAGGAGCCTGCCAAGGTGCTGAGGTTCCCATCGAAACCAGCACCTTCCCTGGCTTGTCTGCACAGTGTTTATACCACTGCCTTCAGCACAGGTATCCCTGACTCACCCGAGGGTTAAAAAAAAAATAAAAAATGCAAGGAGACTTGAAGTGATGGACTTGCTCCAGGTTTATGGGACAGTCCAGGAGTGAAAATCAGAGTGTGGCCTGCAGAGGGAAGAAAAGAGCTGTGGTAGCACTGCCGCAGCTTCCCGGGGGTCTGCTCCTCTTCCCTCTGCCACGCCTGCTCCCCACTGCGCTGTTCCTCCAGAGCGGGCTCTGAGCTGAATAGCTTGCCTTTAAACATTAAATACATTTAAAGCCCATTCATATCAAACCAAAATTAAGCTGCTGGATTTTATTCAAGAGTCATTCCCCCTGAGAAAGGGCTGAGAAGAAAATAATGGTTAGCTGAATGCCTCACCCATCCAGCACGAAGAAAAAATCCCCCTCAGGAGGTAAGGTGAGAAGTCAGGCTTGGCTATCGCCTTGCCTCATTGCATTGTTATCTGTATATAGGCCAATTGCTCAATCCATTTAGAAATTCACTAATTGTCATTGGAGCTATTTGCTGACGACTGTGAAGTAGCTTCGTAATGAAGAGGAAGTCCATTTATTCGTTAACATTTGCGAAAATAATTACTTGTCACTTAACCGAACATCCTTTGCCCCAGAAACACTTGTTCTTCAAACAATGTAATTTCTCTCCATCAGCTTTTTTTTTTTTTGGGGGGGGGGGCTGCACACTTGGAAATGCCACTTACCATTTCCAGTCCCTGAAGGGCTCATTCTCAGCTGCTGTGACGTGAGTGAGGGAGCACACTCCACAAGAGGACACTAAACGTCCTGTCACTTTTGCTGCAAGGAAAGGAGAGCATATTAATGGTGCTGCAGGAGGCCTCCAGCAGGCAGGTTGCAGCTCTGGGGTACTGCTTAAACTGTGTGCTTTTACAGGGCTGCTGCTCCTCTGCAGCCTGCCCTGCACCTCTGCCGGGCATCCCGACGGTGCTGGGGGAGGCCATAGCTGCAGGGCTCAGCGCCAATGGGCCCATCTCTGTCCAAGGAGAT